GGACCAGTCAAGTGCAGCGTTACTTCAGCTTCCTGATTCCACCACACCTTCCTGTTTGTTCTTGGAGTATTGATAGCACCCAGCAACTGTGGTGGACTGAATGGACTGCCAGACACTCTCTCAGTGTGTGTCAGTCTGGGTGGACAAGAGAAACAAATTCGCAGACACTCATATGTGTATAAGAAAGAGCTTTATAGAAAGAGTAATTGTATATTAAGGAAACATCCCAATCCAGTCCAGATCAAGTCCATAAGTCTGAGATTAGCCCATTTGTCCGATATTAGTCTATAAAGTCCTCTTCAGACTCACGCAACACATGCAATGGTGCTGAATGCAGGAAGATCACAAACCAGTGGGTGGAAAGTCTTATGGATCCAGTGGTGGTGGAAGCATCTGAGCACTGGTGTGGCTCCTCCAGCTCCAGGGCTCTGGTTCCATCAGTGTAGCTCCATGTGGCTTGTCAACAGGAAGGTCAAGCAGACAGTGTGTTCCTCTTCCAGGAAGGAAGACAGGAGTTCCCAGAATCCTCAGGAGAAGGCCATGCTCACACAGAGGCCTCATTGGCTATGGTCTGATTGACAGGCGAGAGTCCACCTCTTCGTTCAAGTGGACAGGAGATGATGTCACTGCCAAAGTGTGAAAGCCCTTTGCTCATTCCATTGCGGCATACTTCCTAGTGCTTGTTCTACTACATCTGCTGTCTCTTTGCCTCAGATTTGAATTGCGGGCTTAACACTTAAAATGCCTGCAACAGAACCTTATTAATGAGTCTCTCAAACTCCACTTAACCATAATTTAATAGCTCACAAGTTTCACTGTTCTCTTTCAACCCAATTCAGTCCAACCAAAGTGCATTGAGCATCCAGTAGGCACCTGGCACTGGGCTCAGCAGAGGAGGTACCAAAGGTGGATATCACACTTACTCTTCACTCTTTGGAAGCAATAATCCTGGATACTAAAATGCTAGGCAGGGTAGGTTCCCTATTAGACGCATGTGCGGAATCTGAGCGATCCAGAAATACTTCACGGGCCTGGTGGGTTAGGTGTACGGCATAAAGGGAAAGGAGGACGTTTAGGCGGATTCTTGGATTTTTGTGAGGGTGGTGCAGGGCCTGGCAGTGCTTTATTTTGTTGTTCATAAGGTCACTGTCTTAGGTCGGGTTGACTAGAGAAACAAATCCAGTGACACTCATATATGTCTAAGAAAGAACTTTATATCAAGAAGCAGTTATGTATCAGGAAAACATCCCAGTTCACTCCAACCCAAGTCCGTAAGTCTTATCCTAGTCTGCAGGTCCCTCTTCAGACCCACACAGCCACATCCAATGGCGGTGGAGGCATCACAGGGCTCACGCAGCTGTGAGAGTGGCTTGCTGGCATGAAGGTGGAGACAGACAGACAGACAGACAGAGAGAGAGAGAGAGAGAGAGATGGGGCCGGCCTCCAGAGAAAGGAGGTCATTGACAGGCCAAACTCAGCCCAGATCTTCTTACAGGTGCCATGTTGGCACCCAAACACCTAACTATCCCCGAACTACACATTGCAATGGATTCCATGGTGCAGGCCCCCCCC